GGGACACATCTAGTGGCTGCCTCCTGCACGACCAACCAGGGCCAGAGACAAACTGTAACCGAGGTACGCACCCTTAGTGGGAACTGAACCCGGGTCTCTCTGGACCACAGGCCGATGCTCTAACCGCTGAGCAAAACCGGCCAGGGCACTTTCGCCATTTTAATTACAGTATGCCTTGGGCTTCTTTGGGTTCATCTTGTTTGGAACTCTGTGCATCCTGGATCCGGAAGTTGATTTCTTTCCTGTATTGTTTTCAGTCATTATATCTTCAGATAAACACTCTGCCCGTTTCTTCTGAGATCCCTATCATGTAAATGTTTATGTGCTTAGTGTTGTCCCAGAGGTTCCTTAAACTATCCCTGGTATTTTTTTTAATTCTGTATTATTTTGCTGTTCTAATTGGATGATTTCCACTATTCTGTCTTTCAAGTCACTAATCCATTCCATTCTTTTTTTTGGTGAGAACATTTTTTCATTTTTTGTTCAGATAGAGGGGGAGGGAGGGAGGGAGGGAGAGAGGGGGGGGAGGGAGGGAGAGAGAGAGAGAGACATCGACGTGAAAGGGACACATAGAGTGGTTGCCACCCATATGACCCAACCACGGCCAGGGACAAACTGCAACCGAGGTACGTGCCCTTAGTGGGAACAGAACCCAGCTCTCGCTGGACTGCAGGCTGATGCTCTAACCGCTGAGCAAACCGACCAGGATGACTAATATATTTTTTTGTTTTATCTAATCTGTTGCTACTTTCTTCTGGTGTAGTTTTCATTTTCAGTTATTGTATTCTTCAGCTATGATTGCTTCTTTATTTTCTAATTCTTTGTTCAAGTTCTCTTTGAATTTCTCTTCCACTCTCAAGTTTGGTGAGCATGCTTATAGCCATTCCTTTGAATTCTTTATCAGGCAAGTTACTCTTCTCCATTTCATTTTGTTTTTCTGGATTTTTTTGTTGTTATTCCTTTATTTGGAACATGTTCCTAGTTTCTCATTTTGACTTTCAGTATTTGTTCCTGTGAAGTAGATGCAATACCTCTTTCTCCCAGTCTTGTAAAGGTGGCTTTATGTAGAGGTGACTTCCATGTAGACTGTGCTGCTGGGTTTTGGAGTCAAGGTGGATGCCTGTGGTGCCTGGTGTTGGTTGCCTGGGAGGAGCAGGCTTAGGGTGAGTGGCCCAGTGCACTCCGTAGCTCCCTATTGGTCTGGCTGTCTGTGGCCAGAGTGGGGGCACTGTCAAGGCAGCCCAGTTGCATGCACGCTTTGGTGCCTTTTTAGTTCCTGAGGAGTGAGGTCTGGGTGATGCCCTATTGGTCCAAGCTGGCAGCCAAGGGCACACAATACCACAACACCATTTGGTTCCACTGATGCAATCTCTGGGCAGGTTCACCAGAGCACCTGCATAGAGCTTCCCACTGTGCTGTCCAGGTAGAGGGGGAACGTAAACAATGGCACTTATTGGCACGAATGATCCCAGAGCACTGTTGTTTCTCCAACCTTCTTTATTTGTTCTCTGTCTCTTTCCTTTGTTGTGCAGAAGCTGTTCTGTTGACCCTCAGTTGTCTGTCAGGAAGAACTGCTCTAAATGTAGGTGTGTATTTGATGTGTTCATGGGAGGAGGCAGTTTAGCTTCTTACTAAGCCACCATTTTAGACCCACATGATAGGTTTTTGTTTGTTTTTTAAATATGTTTTTATTGATTTTTATTTTTTAGAGAGGAAGGGAAAGAGAGATAGAAACATCAATGTCGTGAGAGATCGACTGCCTCCTGCACACCCCCACCATGGAGGGATCGAGCCCACAACCCAGGCATGTGCCCTGACCAGGACTCAAACTGGGACCTGCCAGTCCATGAGACAATGCTCAATCCACTGAGCCACACTGGCCGGGAGCATGATAGGTTTTGATTTAATATTAGGATTGAGAAAATTCATCCTAAACTACAAATAATACCCTCTCAGGGACCATTTTTTTTCCTTACCTTTCAATTATTTTATTTATTTTTTTTTTTTATTTTTTTTTATCCTCACCCGAGGACATTTTTCCATTTTTTGTTCAGGTAGAGTGGGAGGGAGAGAGAGGAACAGAGAGAAACATCGACATGAAAGGAACACATCGAGTGGCTGCCACCCGCACGACCGACCAGGGCCAGGGACAAACTGCAACCGAGGTACATGCCCTCAGCGGGAACCGAACCCGGGTCTCTCTGGACCGCAGGCCGACGCTCTAACCGCTGAGCCAAACCGGCCAGGGCTCAATTATTTTTTAAATTATAAAAACAACCTGGCCAATATGGTTCAATGGTTAGAGTGCATTGGCCCACAGACCAAAGGGTCGTGGATTTGATTCCCGGTCAAGAGCACATATGTAGGTTGCAGGTTTGATCCCCAGCCCTGGTCAGGGTCATGCAGGAGGCAGCCAATTGATGTGTCTTGCTCCCTTCCACTCTATCTAAAAATCAATGGAAAAATATCCTCGAGTAAGGATTAATGTCTTCCACCGCCCCCCGCCCCCCAAAAAAAACCTTATTCTAAAAGTTCAAATTAGCCCTGCCAGTTTGTTTAGTGGTTAGAGCATCGGCCCATGGACCAGAGAGACCCAGGTTCAGTTCCCGCTAAGGGCATGTACCTCGGTTGCGGTTTGTCCCCGGCCCCAGTTGGGTCATGTGGGTGGCAACCACTCAGTGTGTGTGTCTCTCTCTCCCTTCCTCACTCCCTCCCACTCTATCTGAAGATAAATGCAAAAATGTCCTCGGGTGAGGATAAAAAATTCAAATTAAGCAATAAAAATTGCATATAAAATTCAAAAAAGATAAATTCCTGCCTCTGCTTTCAATCCTGTCTCCTTTCCAGAAATACACTTTATGTTGATGTCTATCATTTTATATTTTATTTGAATTTTTTTTTTAAAACCTTCAAGTAAATCTTTATATGAAAAAGATATTTAAGAGATATTTTGGTAGACAAGATAGAATGGTATCCCTTTAAGAATTCAGTAAGGTTGGAGTTTGTCTTATTGAGCTTCAGGTATAGAGGACTGAATTAGTCATACTCTTCTCCATTGGATGAAAGGTGTTTTTTTTCCAGATAGACTGAAAACAAAGAATGCCTAACCTGAGGTCCTTCAAAATCTGCTTTAATGAGTAGATAGCAATTAAATTCATTCTTAATCAGCATATTTAAAACTTGTATATAGCCCTGGCCGGTTTGGCTCAGCGGTTGGAGCGTCGGCCTGCGGTCCAGAGAGACCTGGGTTCCCACTAAGGACATGTACCTCAGTTGTAGTTTGTCCCCGGCCCTGATTGGGTCGTGTGGGTGGCAGCCACTCGATGTGTCCTTTTCACGTCGATGTTTCTCTCTCTCTCTCTCTTCCTCCCGCTCTATCTGAACAAAAAATGAAAAAATGTCCTCGGGTAAGGATAAAAAAACAAACAAACTTGTATATAAACAGATAGTGTTAAAGTACTTTTAAGAACTTTCAACAAGATGACTTAACTAGACTTAAGTTACTCTGTTATTATTTATTTGTATAAATAATCAAAGGTAAACCTTTGCCCAGACTTTGTTAGTATTATAAGAAAATCTGAATGAATGAGGTCTTATTACCTAATTTTCCATATGAGAATTGGAGATGGTTGTGAGTGGGCAGATAGATTTATTCTGTTTGCATGATTTTTTAAGCTGTGAGTTTATTTGAATATAAAGATTTTAATGCCTAATAACCTTTTTTATTATTTATTGATTTTAGAGAGGGAGAGAGAGAGAGAGAGAGAGAAACAGAAACATCATTTTGTCATTTCATTTATTTATGCATTCATTGGTTGATTCTTGTATGTGCCCTGACTGGGGATCAAACTCATATCCTTGGTGTATCTGGACGATATGCTAAACTGAGCTACCCAGCCAGGGCTGTCTAATAACCTTTTCAAGATTAAATTACTAGCTAGTATATGTGAATATGCTTTCATTTACATATAGTAGGGGGGAAAATCCAGCTCAAACTATTTTTTTGTTATATTATTTTTTGTTACTTAACAAACATATTTTTATCTTATTTTTTCTATGAGTCAAGAATCTGGACATAGTTTAGGGCCTCCAGTTCAGTTGTAGTTAAGTTCTGTCAGGGCTATGATGTTATCTGAAGGCCCAACGGAAAATCCCCTTCTCCAAGCTCACTCATGTAGTTGTTGGCAGGATTTAATTCCTCATAGATTGAACTCCAGGCCTCAGTTTCTCACTGACCATTGTCCAGAGACCTCTTACAGTTCCTTGCCACATGGGTCTCTCCATAGTGCACCTCACAACTTGGCATGTGGCTTCCCTCATAGTGAGCAAGTAAGTTAGTACCCAAGGTGGAAGCCACACTCTTTCTGTAACTGATCTCACAAGTGACATCCCATCACTTTTGCTGTATTCCATGACTAGTTAGAAACTAATCACTAGGTCTAGCCCACAGTTAAGGTGAGAGGACTGTATAAGAGCATGAATACCAAGAGGCAGGGATCATTGGGGGCCATCTTAGAAGCTGCTTAACTATAGGTGGCAAATTGCTCAGTGGTTTCCAGCTTTATACAGGGTGCGGCAAAAGTAGGTTTACAGTTGTTCCTGTGGAAAATACAATAATAAATAATACCCGAATAAACTGTTTCACATACTCACAACTGTAAGCCTACTTTTGCTTCACCCTCTACATAGCATACCATACTGTCCAAGTGAGAGTCTTGAACTTTGCACTAGTTCAGGGCACCCTGAACCAATCCACGTGGTCACGGGTATGCTCTGAGCTAACCCAATTGTTCTTGGAAGGGATAGGGGCAGAGGAGGATTTTCACTGACCTGGACCCATCAAAGCCTACCCCTCAACTGTACGTGAGCGTGGGTCTATTCCATTAGTGCTGCATAGCAAGGGAAAATGGAATGTATATTGGGAAAACAACACCAGTGTTTTCAAAACCTGGTAAAATATTTTAGTTGTTTTATTCAGACTGTCCTTTTTTGCTCCACAGGTGAAATCCATGAAGAATGAATAAAAAATGAACTTCTTTACACCATTTCTGGAATTCTAGCCACAATAATGGTCTGGTAGCATCTGACAACTAGCTTTGTTCTGAGAAAAACCTTTACCTTGTTGGATTTCAACTCCCTGCCTCCCAGTTCCTAACTGTACAGCGACTTCCCAGATAGAGGAGAACCATTATTCCAACAAGGATAACCAAGCCCTTACATCCCTGACTATAAGACATTATATTTTCCTGAATAGTCATTTAAGACTTTATTTTTTTCTGGATAACTCCAACCATCACATCACTTGACAAAATTAAGAAAAGTCCTGTTTGGCCCCATAGCCTAAACTCTAGATTATAAAGAGCAGTAAAGAGGTCAATAAATGCAATCGAAGATAAAACCCTTTGGAAAGTCTGTCATTAGTCTTTTAAAGAAGCTGACTATGGTATAATGTGGTTAACCTCAAGTCCAAAGCAAGAGTATTTCAGAACTTTCTGGACTCAAGGAAATTCTTTTAAAAGAAGGGTGGGATAGAATCTGTAGTTTGTTTTCAAGAGAGACAATCTCTAGAATTGACACTGCTTTTTTAAAATGTATATTGAAGCATGCTGGTTAGCAGGGCCTCCAGAGTAGTTAAGGGGGCCTCAGACAATTTGGGAAGCTTTACTGGAGGGACGAGAAACAAAAAATCAGATCTGTACTCAGGGACACGGAAATAAATGCCAGCTACTAAAAGCCCAGCCACAGACAGGGCCAGAAAGCAGCCTGGTACAGTGGGGAGCTCAGTGAACAGGAATCTAGGTCACAGGCTACAATATTAATATATAAGCATCAATTGTGTTTTTGTATACTAGCAATGAAAAATCTAAAAATGAAGTTAAAACAATTCCAGGCGTGCTCTCCCTCCCAGGAGCATACCCATGCCTTTCTCTTCCCTCTCTTCTTCCCCACATGCATGCATCTCCTAAATGCTAAGGGACCCCACAAGACTCGCAACCAGGGGAACAATGGGCAACGTCAGCTTATCCTGGATTAACCCCCTGAACATGTCCCCAAGGCCCCTTTTACTCTGACTTTACAGTAAGCTGACAGCAGCCCTGCCTAGGCCCTCTCCTATAGCTTTTCTATCCTAGGCCTTTCCGTGTTTCACTGTCCCCAGCTTTTATAAATGTACTCTCCAAACAAACAAAAACAAAACAGTTCCATCCAAAATACTAACAAAATAAATAAATTTAACCAAAGAAGTATAAGACTTGTACAATGAAAACCATAAACATTCAGAGAAATTAAAAAGTATAAATAGAGGTGTTCTATGTTCATGAATTAGTAGGTTCAATATTATTATATGGCAACTGTTGCCCGGCTGGTGTGGCTCAGTGGTTGAGCATCAACCCATGCACAAAGTCACCAGTTTGATTCCCGGTCAGGGTACATGCCCAGGTTGTGGGCCCAATCCCCAGTTTGGGTCATGCAGGAAGCAGCCAATTGATGTTTTCTCTCTTCAATGTTTCTATCTCTCCTCCTCTCTTCCTCTCTAAAACCAATAAAGAAAAATTATTTTAAATAAAAAGAGCAACTGTTTCCAAATTGATCTAAAGATCAATGCAAACCCTGTCAAAACCCCAGTAAGCTTTTTTGAAAAATTGGCAATCTAATCCTAAAATTTCTAAAGAAATGCAAAGGATCCTTAATAGCCAGAACAGTTCTAAAATTGAGGAACACTCTCTGACTTCAAAATTTACTACAAAGCGCCCTGGCTGGTTTGGCTCAGCAGTTAGAGCATCGGCCTGCGGTCCAGAGAGACCCGGGTTCAGTTCCCTCTAAGGGCACATACCTAGGTTGCAGTTTGTCCCTGGCCCTGGTGGGTCGTGCAGGTGGCAACCACCTGATGTGTCCCTTTAACATCGATGTTTCTCTCTTTCTCCCTCCCACTCTATCTGAACAAAAAATGGAAAAACTGTCCTCGAATGAGGATAAAATAAATAAATAAAAAATAAAATGCTTTTAAAAAAATTTTACTACAAAGCTATAATAATCAAGATAGTGTGGTATTGACGTAAAGATCAGTGGAACAGAATTTGAGAGTAAGCTCTCATATTTATGGTCAATTGATTTTTGATTAAGGTGCCAGGCATATCCATGGAGAAAGGATAGTCTTAACAAATGGAGCTAGGACATTTGGATATCAGATGCAACAAAGATTAATTGAGACCCTTACCTCCTACTATATGTAAAAATAAATTCAAAATGAATCAGACTTAAATATAAGAACTGAAACTATAACAATTTTAGGACAAAACCTATGTGGTATTGGTTTAGGAAAAGAGTTCTTAGATAAGATCCCAAAAATAATCCATAAAGGAAAATATTAATAAGTTGGACTTTATCAAAATTTAAAACTCCGCTTCAAAAAAAAAATCAGAAAATATATTCAAATCATATTTTATAAAGGACATATGCAAAATATATAAAGAATTCTTAAAGCTTAAATATGAGACAGCTCAATTTTAAGATGTGTGAAAATTTGAATAAACATTTCAGCAAAGAGAATATATAAATGGCTTAGCATATGTAAAGTTCTTCACCATCACTAGTCATTAGGGAAATAAAAGTTAAAACCAAAATTAGATACCTCTTCCCATCCACTAGGATGAATATAATAAAAATGACAGTGTTGGTAAGATGTGGAGAAATAAGCCCTAATACATTGCTGATGGGAATGTAAAATAGTGCAGCCACTTTGGAAAAACAGTCTGGAGGTTTCCTAAGTTAAATATAAGTTTACCACGTGACCCAGAAATTCCACTTCATGTTCCATCCCCCCAAAAATGAAAACATGTTCAAAGACTTATAGGCAAGTGATCATAGCAGCATTGTTCATATTAGAGAAATAACTCAAATGACCATTGACTGGTATATAGATAAACAAAAAATACAAACAGTGAAGTACTGATACTATAATAGATAAATCTCAAAAGCATTAATGCTAAGTGAAATAAGTCTGACACAATAAACCGTATGAGGTATGATTCCATTTTATAAAATATCATAAAAGGAAACTCTCTAAAACAGATACTAGATTGGTGGTTGCATGGCCAGGGGTGGGAACAGGGATTGTCTACAAATGCGGTGATGAAATGTTCTAAAACTAAATTGTGATTTTTGTACAACGTTGTAAACTTAATAACTGCTTATGCACTTAAAACAGCAAATTTTATGTGTATAAATTGTCTTAATAAAGGTGTTAAAAATTATAGATGATGTCCAGACTACCCAAAATAATCTACAGGTTCAATATAATTATCAAAATTCCAATGGCACAGAAATAGAATAAACAATCCTAAAATTTGTATGGAACCATGAAAGACCCCAAATAACCAAAGCAATCTTGAGGAGAAGAAAAGCTGGCAGCATCATGCTCCCTGATTTAAAACTATATTAAAGCGATAGTAATCAAAACAGTAGAGTATGGGTATAAAAACAGGCACATAAGTCAGTGGAACAGAATACAGAGCCTGGAAGTAAACCCACACATATATGGTCAATTAATGTATAACAAAGGAACCAGAATATTAATTGGGGAAAGGATAGTCTCTTCAATAAGTGGTATTGGGAAAATGACAGCCACATGCAAAGAGGTGAAACTCGACCTCTGTCTTCAGTCATTCTCAACAATGAAAATGTATTAAGTCTTAAATGTAAGACATGAAACCATAAAATTCCATCAAAATAAAAAGCTTTTGCACAGCAAAGGAAACCAACAAAATAAAAAGGCAACTATGGAATGGGAAAAGATATTTGCAAATCATATCTGATAAGGGGTTAATATCCAAAATATATAAAGAAATCATACAACCCAATAGCTAAAAAGAGTAAAATCCAATTAAAAATGGGCAGAAAATAGCAATAGACATTTTTTCAAAGACAACACACAGATGGCCAAGAGGTACATGAAAAGATGCTCAACATCACTAATCAGGGAATACAAATCAAAACCATTAATGAGATTATCACCTCACAAGTGTTAGAATGGCTGTTATCAAAAAAGACAAGAAACACATGTTGGAGAGGATGTGGAACAAAGGGAACCCTTGTGGGAATGTAAGTTGGTACAGCCACTATAGAAAACAGTGTGGAGGTTCTGCAAAAAATCAGAAATAGAACCACCATATGATCCAGCAATTCCACTTTGGGTAGTTATCCAAAGGAAACAAAAACTAACTTGCAATGCACTCCCATGTTCATTGCAGCATTATTTACAATAGGCAAGATATGGAAACAACTTGTGTCCACTGATGGATGAATGGATAAAGCATATGATGGAATATTATTCAGCCATAAATGTGAATGAAATCTTGTCATTCAAGACAATGTGGATAGTCCTGAGGGCATTATGCTTAGTGAAATAAGTCAGGCAGAGAAGGACAAATACTGTATGCTCACACTTACATGAGGATTCTAAAAATAAATTAATGAAAAACCAAGCTCATAGATGTAGAGCACAGATTGGTTGTTGGCAGAGGTGAGGAGTGGGCAAAATGGGTAAAGGTGGTCAAAAGTAAAATTTTCAGTTATAAAGTAAATACATCATGAGGATGTAGTGTACAACATAATGACTATATTTAACACTATATGCATATTTGAAAGTTGCTAAGAGTAAATCTTAAAAGTTCTCATAATAAAAAAATTTGTAGCTATGTATGGAAATAAGACATCTAATAATCCTTTCACAACATATACAAATGTCAAACCATTATGTTGTATACTTGAAACTAAAGTTAATTCAACCTCAAAAAATTAAAAATAAATTTCAAAAAATCATAAATGATGTCAGGGCCCCTCCCTCTGACCTACTAGTAACAATTCTCTCGGGTAAAGAAGGGAAGAAGTTGCTGTATTTCATACTCCCCTCTGCGCCCAGAGACACCTCTTTAGTTATCTGCCACACCCTGCAGGTCTGGGGCCCTCAGGTGAGGAGTCTGCAGCTCATTATAGAAACATTAGGAAGCCAGACAGACCACTGCCACCTCTGCCACCAGGTCACTGCGGGGCCAGCAGCTTTTTTGGGCGCTGCATCTGCCTCCCACACACTCCTGCCAGCCAGGTTTATGTGAACTGGGGAGGACTGGAGCAGAATTCAGTTCAGCTGAAGGGACTGTACTAGATCTTGGTTTCTGTGTGTCATTTCCAATCAAGGAGCCAAGGTTTCTTAGAGAAATTGCTAGTTCTGAGGCTGGGGCAGCAGCAATACAAGACAAGCCTGGAGCATCTGGTACCAGAAAGGAAGCAAGCGCTGGCTGCTGAAGACAGGTCTGCAGCTCCCGCGGCTCAGACCACTGAATGGGCATCAAAACTACTGGGCAGTCTCAAGTTGTTTTTCCATGGGCTCCTAAACAGAAAATGGAAATAAAGTCAGAAAATAAATACCAGTTTTGAAATAAGTAAATGAATACTGTGTTATGTAGATACTATCCCTTCCAGGAAGTGGAGCTTAGTCCGCCATTTGAGAGAGAGTAAACTTAGTGACTAGCCTCCAAAGAATGGGGAAGGGGAAATACCCCCTTCACAGGATGACAGTTCACACCCCCAGTGATGTCATGTGCAGAGCATGTGCCCCCTGACATGTGTGATGAGAAGGGCATTCTTTCCCAAAATCATAACTCAGTCTACTCATGAAAAAACATAAATCCAGTTTGAGGGAATATTTCTACAGAAAACGTGGCCGGTACCCCTCAAGACCGTCAGGTCATAAAAAACAGGCTGAAAAATAGTCACAGACCAGGGGAGTCGTGTGACTAAATGCAGTGCAGTGTCCTGGTTCAGACCAGAACAGAAAAAGGACATTAATGGAAAAATGGGGGAAATCCAAATCAAGTCTGGAGTTTAGTGAATTGTAATAAACG